TTCTATATGCACCCGAAGAAGTGGGCTGTAGTCCACGAAAGCTTATGCTCTAATAAATTTGTTAGTCTCTAAGGTGCCACAAGTACTCCTGTTCTTCTTTTTATTGATATTATCCAGCAAATTATTTAAAAAAATAAGAATGCAATTCTGCCAAGCCTAACTAGATAATGAGAGAAGTGGGAGCTGCCCCTTTAAGAAGAGGTCCGGGCAGGGTGAGAGAGTTATTGCAGGGGCTGGAGCCTACAGCGAGTATGCTGCTGTTTCAGGAGAGGGCTGGCTGATAGATGGGTGCTGAGGGGGTCTCTGTCTGCAAGAAACTCTTAAAGCAAAAGGTTTGAATGCCTATCGTAGACAAAGTTTTCTCTGAAAAGCTGAGTCGTGTGCCTGACCTGCTTTCCTTCCCCAGATTTGTGCCCTCTCCCGCCTGGAACACAGAGGCAGGTCAGCGTCAGTTTTATAATAACAGCCTTTCACTCCTCAGCAGAAATATTTCTCCTCCCTCCCCCGCGTCTAAGTGTTCCTGAAAACAGTTTATTTTTTCTAAAGAAAATAACATTCCCCTGCAGCTTCTGCAACCCAAACTGCAGCATCCCTGCTACAGTGAGGGAACCGCCAGGTGAAACTGACATACCCACTAATGTGAAATTGACCAGATAGATGTTAGTTTTCACCTAGAAAGCCTTAAATTATCAGGGACCTACCTGCCTTTTCCCCTCAATAAGATACTGCCAGTAAAGCCCCCTGAGCTGTATTGGTATGAGAGAGGGGGCTCTGGCAAGGTGTTTTCCTTTACAGCCTCTTGGATCACACTCCATTCCACCCTGAAGTTGCTAACATTCAGATCACATTGTGTGACCCTTCTTTGCTCTTTGACCCCTACAAAGTTGAGAGCAGAGCGAGTGATTGGGGAGCAGGGGGACTCTGCTGGAAATTTTGACCACAATCCTGCAGAGACTTCTCATATGCTGAACTTTAAACACATCCTCAAGTGGCTTTATTAAATCGAGGCCTTTGTTACTGTGGTTTATTAAATGTTTCTGTGTTGATATTGCTGTGGGGACCGTGCAAATTGCTGGCATCTGTCCAGTACACATCCCATAAAATAAGCAGTTTGTCAGAGGCGTCTAGCGTTTGGAATGGATTCTATTTTGTTTACACATTCAGAAGTGTAGAGAAACAGTCCATTAGTCTCCAAACGGAGCAAAACGCAAAAAGCCAGTGTAGCGTAAATGATGACACACAAAATAGGACAGTTAAGGTACCTTTGGTTTTAGGAGAGAAGGTGTTTACTTGTAACACAAACAAGGAAATCTGTGTCCCCACTCACCCCAGCGTATGAATTTTAAGCCCACTCTTTCCTTTGACGTTGTTCTGTGCTTGCCCAGCAGTTTGAAGAGCTTGGGATTCTTTTTAGTTTAATCATTTTTTCTATTCTTAGATATTCCATTTATAGGAACATGAGAACGGCCAGACTGGCTCAGACCCAAGGTCCAACTAGCCCAGCGTCCTGTCTCTGACAGTGGCCAGCCCCAGCTGTCTATGCCAGACGTTGAACAATCTGCCTATTAGTTCTCATCCTAGCCCTCTCATAGTCAGAGATCGGTGGTTTCGTCTCCCTTCCCAGCTCTGTAAGTATAAAGAGAGCAATGTAGACATGCTTTTTCTTAAACAACCCTCTACTACTCTTAATCCCATTACAATGGGCCTTCCAGATAGCTAGATGCTGCGTCCTAAAAAAGACAAGAGTTAATCTAAAGCTCACCAACCCTGGAGAATGGCTACACTCTGCCCGCAAAACTTCGACCAGGGCACAGGTAACAATCTCTGCATGGATGATCTGCTGGGCTTGAACCAGGCCCTGCAGCCCTACCACACTGATCTTTAGTACTTGAGCTAAGGAAGTAATTATCAGCCGGTAGCTGCAGTAGGTTATTAACCTACTTTGCCAGTGTATTATGTGTGCAGAGCACAGCGTAGCCCCGAGAAAGCAGGACTATCTGCTCACTGGCTGCATTCTGAAGCAGTGTCTGGCTGGGGTTTTTTTAAACCCCCAAAGAAACTCAGGGGCATGTTTTCAAATCATTGCATGGATGGGGGAAGGTGAGTCAGATGGGCCCACTCTTATCTCCAGTGGACGGTATTTTCAGAGACAGGTGCACACCCAGCCACGAAGCTCGAATCAGTGACTCAGGGCTGATCTACACCGTGGGTCGGTACAGCCTTATGTACGTCCATGCTCAGTTTTGAGCCTTGCTGACAAAACCCTCAAAATTCTACTAGTTCCCTGAGCAACATACATCCTCTCCCCATACAGTTCTACGGGGGTGATGCCTGTGTGGACGCAGACGATCGCTGTTCCGGTGTCAGCCATCCTCTAGCAACACATAGAGAACAGCCTATGTGGATAAGTCCAACAGAGGAAGCCACATCACACTCTGCAAGCGTGCTATAACCCTAATTGCCAGACGTTACAAGCAACAGGAAAACTGTAGTCTGGGCTGCTGCTTCAGTCCTGTAACGACTGGCCATGGAGCATTCTCTCCAGGGCAAGCCGTCCCGGGCCCTAGCAGTGAAGCTGTGCTGGGAAGCTGATTAGCCTCTAGCCTCTAGCCCCATCTCACTGCCTCCCCATCTGTGCCAGGGGAGTGGTGTAGAGTTAACCCCCTGCTTGCCGGACGCAAGGCGGAGCCTCCACACACGCCGATCTAGGAGGCAGAGAGCGACGGTTCCGTCTCAGAAGTGATTAAACTAAAAAATAAATAAAGGTTCCCCCGAGAGCCCGGACGCACACAGGCGCCCAGTGCAAATGCTGTTTGGGAAGGAAGCTTCCGGGAATGTTTATATTACAACCAACTCCCTTCCCAGCTCCAGCGCAGCGTGAGCCTGGCCAGACACAGGAAGGGAAACAAACCCAGCTTAGCCAAGTCACTAAAGAGGACTTAATCTTTACACCTCGCGACGCTTACAGGGTCATCCAGGGGATACAAGGTTCCACAGAGGGAGGTGGGCTTAGAACCCTCATCCTCTGCCACTTACGCTACAGGAGAGCACCTGAGTATTACATACCTTAGCCTCTCCCTGGGCCAGGCATTAGCCATACTCACAGCCAGCCAGCCCACAGCCCTTCTTGGGAATGTGCTGGAGAGGCACAAAGGGTTCTTCACATTCTCGGCACTCGAGAAAACCCGCCATCTCCCCCCATGCTTTCAACTCAATGGCATCAGAAACGCAGCACATTCCTCTCAGCAGCGCCGCTGAAGTTCACCCACACGCCGCGTGTAGGTGGGGTAAGTCACACACGCCATTTGTTAACATTCACCAGGACAGGCCAGCAGCTCGCACTAGGAGGCAAACCGAACCCCCAGTCGCTCCAGCGAGACCTCTGCTTAGAAATCCTGTTACCTGTTTATAGACAGACAGGATGAAACTCAACCCCCTCCCGGGTGCTTGGCTTTAAGAGCGGGAAAGGAAGAAAACCCAGCATGCGGCTCTCCTAGTGCCCCTTCCCCAGGGCCCCTCTGCACTGCTCACCCAGCTCCCGGAGCAAACACAGCTTTTGGAGTTAAAGCAGAAACGACCAAAAGAGCCAAATTTTCCCCTTGGAGTTAGTCACACGTGCCCAGCCCCTACTCAAGTCAGAGGAGCTCCGTGTGTGTCTGTAATAATCATACCTTATCTAGCGTTTTCATCAGCAGATCTCAAAACACTTTATGCAGAGATCACTATCATTATTCCCATTTGACAGATGAGGAAACTGAAGCAGAGAGGTGAAGCGACTTCCCCAAGGTCCCAGGAGAGCAGAGCCAAGAACAGAACTCTGCTCCCCTGAGTCCTAGTCTTGTGCTCTAGCCACTAGCCACACTATGCACTACTGCCCCACCACAGGGTCAAACCCCTGATCTTCAACACTGCAGCACAGACCTCTACCGTTTCAGCTAAAGGAGGGACTTCACTAGCTGGCAGCAGTAGTAGGCTGTTATCTTCTCTGTGGCCCAGCCACCAGAGGGAGGCATAGCATATGTTTAAGCAGCATATTACACAGACATTCATCTGAAGGCAGAAGCTGACCTAAAGTTATTAGCTACATCAGCAAAAGTACAGACCACTACAGAGAGAAAGAAATTGGCAGTACTGTACAACCAGAATGGCCCAACTGAACTCTACGCCAGTGGCTCTCAACCTTTCCAGACGAATGTCCCCCTTTCCAGAGTCTGATTTGTCTTGCGTACCCCAAGTTTCACCTCACTTAAAAACTAGTTGCTTACCAAATCAGACATAAAAATACCACAGTGTCCTAGCCACACTAGTACTGAACAATTGCTGACTTTCTCATTTTTACCATCTAGTTATAAAATAAATCAATTGGAATATCAATATTACACTTACATTTCAATGTGTAGTACATAGAGCACTATAAACAAGTCATTGTCTGTCTGAAATTTTAGTTTGTACTGACTTCTCTGGTGCTTTTTCTGTAGCCTGTTGTAAAACTAGGCAAATCTCTAGAGGAGGTGATGCACCCCCTGGAAGACCTCTGCCTGCCCCCAGGGGCACACACGTACCCCTGGCTGAGAGCCACTGGGCTAAGAACCCTCGTGAATATTGACTCACAACCCATGGGCTTCATGGAAGAATCTTAAGAAGGGATTTAAGTACAGAGCAGGGGCTTGGGGGAGCAGGAGGTCAATCTATGGTTGTGATTCTCCCCTGCCCACATCGTTTACGGCTACGCCATGGAGATGTATAACTCAGCCTTCCTGATCTGGGACAGGGATTTTATACACGCAGCCCAGGAGTAAAGAGCAACCCCTGGTGCAGGGCAGAGGCAGAAGATTCTGAAGATGAGAACTGGGAAACTTGGTTTGCCCTCCACCCAAAATAAAACCCCGTGTTTTGGGTTATGAGCTGCCCGACAGCCTCCCTTATAAACAAGTCAGTAGCTTAAATGGACAAGAAACAACAGAGGAGATTTGGGAGCACGTCTTACCTGTTTCTTCCAACAGTCTCATGGTCTTTGACGACAACAGTGAGCTCGGCATTCTGGTCTAAGGGAATTCCTTTCAGATCCCAGTCAAACCCCTAGAGCGAGAAGAGAAACAATAAAAGATCATTGCCTTGTTATAGCATTAGCAGAGACAGCTACTGACCCATAGCTAGAGCCAGCCGAAAAATGGAATTTCCATCCCACAGGAAATTCTGACATTTCAAAATTTATTTTCACTCCAAATCAGGACAAAAAAATCAAAATTCTAAAAAGTTTCTATTCAAAAACATTGTTTCGCTTCAATAATGTTGAAACAAAATGTAATATTAAACACACTATATATAATTATTATTAAAATTAATAGTTTAATATAAGAGACACTAAACTAAGTGAAACAAAATGGGAAAGTCAAAATGAAGTGTTTTTACTGTATCAAAACTTTTTGACCTTCGACTGTCTCCGGTCAAAACGTTTATCAAAATTGAGACATTCCCACTAAATGTGCTGATTTTTTTTTGACTGCATTTCCGCAGAAAACTGTTACCTCAAAAACATTCGCAGAAATGGAGTGTTCAGATCACCGCATTTGCCACGATTTTAATCATCAGTCTTGCAACACAAAGTTTGTCAGGAACCCAAATTTTCATTCCATGGGAAATTCCAAAATAAATTAAAAACAAAAATCAAACCAGAAAAGATGAAATTTTGAAAATTCCCACAAAATGAAAAAAATCTAATAAAAAAATTGATTTGGGACCATTTCGTTTCAATAGTATCAAACCATTTCATTTCGACTTCTATATTCTACTAAAAGATTAAATATTATATCTAATATATGAGTTTTAATATAACATACTGAATTATATTAAAATGAATATTTTCATATAATATAGAAGTCTGAACAAAATCAAAACGACATTGTCAAATCACATTTTGACTTTTTCCTGTTGAAAAATCGTGTAGGAATCAACACATTCCCGTCAAACGTTTCAATTTCAACAAAAATGCATTTTTCAATAGAAAACGGTTCTATCAAGAATCTTTTGACTGACGGTAGTCATGAATTCAGACTTGATCTTGGCTGGTGGAAATCACTGGAATGGCCTAAGACCTCTTCATAATTTTAAGTTCAGATGTACACTAATGAGATCCTAACCAATTTTTTTTTTAAAAGAAGCTTTGTAGATTTCTTCCTTCCCACCCAGGAGTCTGATTAGGCAGGGCTCGTGCTGTCCTGGTACATTTGTTTAAAAGCACTGGTTAGGAAGGACAGTGGATGAGGCATTATATTGTGACTTAGGACACCTGGGTTCAGTTCTCGGCTCAGCAACAGACTTTCTATGTGACCTTGGGAAAGTCACTTGAGCTACCCTGTGCCTCAGTTTCCCATCTGTAAATCTTGCAGGAGTGTTGGAAATGTAATGAAGGTGCTCAGATACTACAGTGAGGAGGACCAGGTAAAGTACATACAGTGATGAAATAGCACTTTAAAAAGCACTCATTTCCACAGGACATCCCAAGAGAGCCCACCACTTCCGCACAGCAAGTCACAGCTTCATAGCTGGTTCATCATGAAATTGACGGAAAAGCCAGGAAGTCTGGACCCGGCAGATCTCGGGAAAATTCCCCTGGTTAACTGAGTTCTGGATTTCAGGTTTAGTCTAAACAAGAGAAGAATGAGGAGGGACATGATAACAGTCTTCAAATATGTTAAAGGTTGTTATCAAGATGACAGTGATCTATTGTTCTCCATGTCCACTGAAAGTAGGACAAGAAGTTGTGGGCTTAATCTACAGCAAAGGGAGATGTAGGTTAGATATTCGGAAAAAAAACTTTCTAACTCTAAGGGGAATTAAGATACCTAGGCAGATTGTGGAATCGTCAGCATTGGCGGTTTATAAGAACAAGTTGGACAATCCTAGATCAGGGTTTCTCAAACAGGGTCCGCCGCTTGTGTAGGGAAAGCCCCTGGAGGGCCGGACCTGCGGACGGGGCAGGTAAACAAACCGGCCCAGCCCGCCAGGGGCTTTCCCTACACAAGCGGCAACCCCTGTTTGAGAAACCCTGATCTAGGTTTACATGGTCCTGCCTCAGCACAGGGGGCTGGACTAGATGACCCTGAAGGTCTTTTCCAGCCATACATGTATATCTAGAGAGATCTAGAGACATATAAAATTAAATCCTGCGTAGCATTCCGATGGGTTTCATTTTTCAACAGGGCAACACTGAATGCATTCCAGCACCGCACTGGCCCAAGGCACACCCACTTTGCCATGGCTTGTAATGATCTCTCAGAGACACGTACCAACATTGCCCTTCTCTCCAGAGCCCGTAAACACATATGCACGTGATTAACTTGAAGCACGTGACTCATTCTATCGGGGGTAGCCGTGTTAGTCTGTATCCACAAAAACAGCAAGGAGTCCGGTGGCACCTTAAAGACTAACGGATTTATTTGGGCATAAGCTTTTGTGGGTAAAAAAACCCACTTCTTCATGCCACCGGACTCCTTGTTGTGTATCATCCTGTTGACCTCAATGGGTTGGTGTGCTGTCTGCTGAGGGTCATGGCAAAATACAATTCCCACAGGTGGAGAGCTCATGCCCCACAAACCCCTTCAGCACCAGGGTTTTTGAAAAGGGAGGGAGACCCATAGGACTGGGGACTTGGCCAAGGGTACCCAGCTACTTAGCCGTAGAGGCAGGGCAAAACCCAGGACTCCTGATCTCCAGCCCCTGGACATCACTCCCTCCATGTATATCCATTGGCATTGTGCCTTTATTACATGTACGTGTCACTAATCTAGGGAAAAACTGCCCAGCCATAATGTCTGCCCACGCGCAGAGTACAACACATCTCCCCGATACAGCGCATGACCAGAAATGGCCATTTGCTTGGTTCCACCAGAAATAAAGGTGCTAGGGTCAACCAGCTTCGTCCTCACAACGGTAGCTACAGGGAGAGGTTGGTGGAGGGCAGTGCTTTAAGTCTCCAAAGGCCACACGTGGCTGATACGTCACACTTTGATCACTCCAGATTGCCCTTAAAGGACCCGTGGCAGCGCGGCTTTCAATCAAAGCCAATTCCTGCTCGGAGCACGGATCATTTGTGCACAGCCGGTGTGCACTTGCCTTGCGGTGGTTGGTTACTAGAGGACAGACTACTACTGCTGCCAGCTAACAGAGTTACTCCTTTCGCTCTCGTAGTAGAGGTCTGTGCTTTGATGCTGAAGGCCCTGAGTTCAGACACTGCTGATGCAGTGTAGGCATTACACCAGATCAAGGGACATAATGCACCAGCATTTAGACCACCCTCACCCCCTGCAGTCTCCGCCCCAGGACTCTGATCACAGAGGGCCTGCAGATGAAGCTTCCGGTGGGCTTTAGTGAAGCCAGAATCAAGATGGGAAACCTGCACCCACCAAGTTTTCTGAAGGGCGCTAGCCAATTCCCAGTAGCGACTGAGCTCCCGCCCTGCCCACCTGAGCGAAAGGAGAATCTCCCTTTCTCTGAAAACACACAGCTGGGCAGCTCTGATTCCACTCAGCCGCGGCAGCTGCCAGTTCACTTTACAGCGTGAGATTTCTGAGCCGGCTGCTGACCACACAACGCACCCCAGGCAAAGAGGCTCTGAAGCCCCGGAGGCTCTTTTGCATCCTATTCAAATAATGCGTTGGTGAAACTCAGGCCTGTGTGAGGAAACAGGCCAGGGCACGGGGATGAATCCAGGCAAGATCCCAGGGAGCTGGACCCAGCTAAATTAGCCCCCAGTGTAACTGCACTCACGGCAGTGTAGCTACACCAGGGATGAACTTGGGTGCTAGAAAAGAGAGATACAGAGCTCTGCTCTTTTCCCGCACGGGGTAGAATTCGGACCAAGCTCTGTGACTCAAGGAATGGAAGGAACTCTGGTTCCCGCAAACGTGGCTCCTGGCTAAGGTGACCAGACGCCCCGATAAAATCGGGACCGTCCCGATTTTGAGGAGTTTGTCCCGCGTCCTGACCAGAGTACGGTCGGGATGCCATTTGTCCCGATATTTTGTTTCCTGGTCTTCGGCGGCAATTCAGCGGAGAGTCCTTCAGTCGCGGACGCTCTTCGGAGGTATTTCGGCGTCGGGTGCTTCTGTCTTTGGCGGCAAGGTTTATTACCCGCCGCTGAAATACTGCCGAAGACCGTCCGCGACTGAAGGGCTCTCCGCCGAATTCCCGGACAGGTGAGTGTAAAAGAAAAAAAAACGCCCCCCCTGCAGCGGTCCGATATTTTCCCCTTAACATCTGGTCACCCTACTCCTGGCAAGAAAGGGGAGCAGGTCCAGAAGGGGGCGCCACTTGCCTCATTCCACACAGGGTTCACGTTGTTCTTGATCACTTTGGTTCTCTTCTTCACACCTAAAAAGGGAGTTAAGCAAAAGGGTTAGAAAAGTCCTCGGACGCTCGCCCTCCCCATCTCCCCCTGAGCAAAAATTCCTGCTGCTTTAAAAAACAACAAAACATATTGCTCCGAGTTTGATTATCCCATGAAGAGCTTTAGGAAAAGGAAACTGCATCCCCAGCCCCAGAGAGCTTCCCGTCTAACATCACCGATCCCGCAAGGAGGGCTGCAGGGTTAGGCCCTGGGTTAAGGCAAGACGCAGGGCAGGGGGGCAATGCAAAGCCAGGAGGATTCCTGGAGAGATGGCCAGAATGGGCTCAGCTGGAGGATGGTGGGAAGCCGAGGGAGGAGGAAGGTGACCCCAGGGAGGAGAAGGGATCTAAAGCTACACCGTAGCCCCGGGAGGTAGTCCAGGGCTCCAATATGTAATGGTGATGTCTCCGGGACCGGGGAGGAACATGGCAGCTGTTTAGCAGTACATGGCAACACAGAACAGAAAGGATCAGCGACAGAAAGGCCCGGATCCTCAATGGTATTTAAGGAGCGTAAATACTTCTGAGTATCTGAGCCAGAGTGATCAGCCCAGGCCCCGCACCAGCCTCACTCTGGTTTTGTCCCACCAACTGCATTGGAAACGGTAGATCGGGCCCATTACTAGTTCTGATTCGTATGTCAGTAGTGCTAAAGCTCCAAACACGAACACAGTCTCTGTCCCACAGAGCAGAGTACAGCAGAGTCCACTTAATAGCAATCCCGAGATTAACAACTTTGGCAGAATAACGATATTTTGCCGGGAGCTGATCCCGTCCCACTGATGTGAATGTTCATGGGATTTGGATATTGGCAACAGGCATGCTGCTTACTAGATGGGCATGTTTCTCTTGTGATCACCATCTTTTGGGGAAGAAAGACCCCAGCTGCAGGCAGGTTTGCAGGGCTGCAACCGGGGAAGGAAACGCTGGGGCTGCACCATACCTCTCCCTGTGCTCTCCAGACTGCGTCCTGCCCTAGCACCAGGGGCCCAGGCTCAGTATGTCCCAATGCTGCAGCTAACTTGCATGTGGTCAGGGACCAGCCACTCTGACAGTCTGCACCAGGGGTAGGCAACCTATGGCACATGTGCCAAAGGTGGCACGCGAGCTGATTTTCAGTGGCACTCACACTGCCCGGGTCCCGGCCACCGGTCCGGGGGACTATGCATTTTAATTTAATTTTAAATGAAGCTTCTTAAACATTTTAAAACCCTTATTTACTTTACGTACAATAGTTTAGTTATATATTATATTATATATTATAGACTTAGAGAAAGAGACCTTCTAAAAACATTAAAATGTATTACTGGCACGCAAAACCTTAAATTAGAGTGAATAAATAAATAAATGAAGACTCGGCACACCACTTCTGAAAGGTTGCCAATCCCTGGTCTGCACCATTACATGCACCTTTTTTACAAGACTATGATAAGTTTTGTACAAGATATCCCTTGTGAAGTATCATTTGAAAACTCATAATTTGCTGATCATTATTAGCCTAGTAAAATATGTATGGCAACATTGCTAATGTGAAGTTATGAGATCCGACTGTATAACATTGTGGAAGGCATGTCCCACGTTTAGAAAAGCAGGCACAAACCAGTTTCTCAGCAATTAATGACCCAGCCAGGTATCAACAAGATCATCAGGACCATCACATAGTGGAGTGGCCATTCACTGGCAGGAAGAGGGGAGTGAACAAAAATTTACATTTTAGAAGAGATACAGTCTTTATGGCACGTGGGCCATAGCAGGAGATGGCTCTTGTGCAAGAGAGTGGACTATAAAGGTAGGAAGCCATGGCCCCCAAATCGCCTCTTCTTCCCTTTCTCTCTGTTCACAGCAGCAACAATGCCTGAAGGAACCCTGGACTGGGGGAGCGGTCCTGATTGAAAAGGATTTCAGCCAGTCAGACTGGAAAAGCAGGTGGTGAGACAAACCTTTGCTTTGAATTCATTGAGATTGCAAAGTTAGATATTTAGTTACATTTTATTTTTGGTAACCAATTCTGACTTTTATGCTTCATTCATAGGTTCATAGATTCATAGATTCATAGATTCTAGGACTGGAAGGGACCTCGAGAGGTCATCGAGTCCAGTCCCCTGCCTGCATGGCAGGACCAAATACTGTATAGACCATCCCTGATAGACATTTATCTAACCTACTCTTAAATATCTCCAGAGACGGAGATTCCACAACCTCCCTAGGCAATTTATTCCAGTGTTTAACCACCCTGACAGTTAGGAACTTCTTCCTAATGTCCAACCTAGACCTCCCTTCATTACTTGTAGCCACTTAAAAATCTTTTTTTCTATCGTTAATAAACTTGTTCTACTGTTTTATCTAAACCAGCGTGTTTGGACTGGGGTGTTTGGGAACCTCCACTTGACATAACAAGGTCTGTGTGTGTTATTGACAAATGACAGACTTTCTATGAGCTTGGAGTTGCACGGAAGAAAAGATCTGGGCAATACAAGAAACACATTTCCTGGGGACAAGCCCGGGACTAGGAGTTTGCTGGTGTCGCCCTGGGTGTAATTCATGAATGTCTGGCCTGAGTATTCATGTAATCAAGTTGGGAGTGATTTTGCAGGATCGTGGCTGTGTGTGAACTGGCCAGGAGTGGTTGATCTCACAGCAAAACAGTGTCAAAAGCACCCCAGGTTGGAGAGTTAAGGGAACACAGCAGTCCAGATTGTACCCTGGGGAATGCCACAGCCACCCACACAGATAATGGGCTGGGGCACCCACGTGCTCACACAGTTGGGCGGAGTGTGACCCAAATTGACCATGTTGATATCAAAGGAGGGGTGCACAGTTATGAGTCTGTACCCAGGGACTTCCCTAGGCACGCATGTTTCCCCCGTGATGGCCACCTGCATGATATTTCACCAAAGGGGCCCTGCGTGGTCTCTGCCGAAAGCAAAGAACTCGCTGGTTGTCGTGGTTATTGCAGGATGCATGTACCGGAATATTGTAAGAGCCCTGTAACATGTCGAATATTGTGTCCAAAGCTGCTGGGAGTGAAGCAGGTCACCAGGGGTGGCGGGTTCTCAGAGGGAACCCCAGCAAGAGTGAGAATAATTGACAATTTCAACCTAGCCCAGCCAAGGGTTGACGGTCTACACAAGGTTACACACTTGACCCTTTTCAAAGCATAAAAGAGCTCAAGAAAAAGCCCCTGAACAGGGGGACCATTGGGGTGAACTGAAGATTGCACTGTGGGTTTTTCTTTTATCTGTATCTGTTTCCAATCCTTGTATTTGAATCTTATGCTTTGTCAAACTTCTACACTGGGACCCCGTTTCTCCAATTTAATTGGGACTGGGGCCAGATTGGATCATCAAAAATGTGGATAATCAGGAGAGCCCCGTGAAGCTATGTTACATGCTCCAGCCCCACATGGAAGGCCTCTGGCTGTCAGCCCCAGAGAGTTGACAATTACCAGTCTGCACCCAGGGACTTGCTTAGACATCCCTTGGTGGGCATGTTTCTCTTGTGATCACCATCTTCACCCTATTTCACCGAAGGGGCCATGCGCGGTCTCTGCCAAAAGCTAAAAACTCACTGGTTGCAGGATGTTGGTGGGGAAATATTTTAAAAGTCACATAACATGTCTAATATTGTGACCAAAGCTGCTGGAGATGAAACAGGACACCAGGGAGTGGCTGGTTCTCAGAGCTAACTCCATCACATGTGAGAACGGTTCCCAGCTCCCAGCCAAGAGTAGAGCGTCTAGACAAGGTGCGCGCTTGGGCCATTACAAAGCATAAAAGAGCCAAAGAAAATCACCTTGAGCCGGGGGGACCATCAGGGTGATCTGAAGTTAACGAAACACCCTTGCGATGAAGCGAGACAGAAGATCTGGGTGTGACGTTATGAGTGTAATACAGAGGTCGGCAACCTTTCAGAAGTGGTGTGCCGAGTCTTCATTTATTCACTCTGATTTAAGGTTTCACGTGCCAGTCATACATTTTAACATTTTTAGAAGGTCTCTTTCTATAAGTCTATAATATATAAATAAACTATTGCTGTGTGTAAAGTAAATAAGGTTTTTTAAATGTTTTAAGAAGCTTCATTTAAAATTAAATTAAAATGCAGAGCCCCCCGGAGCGGTGACCAGGACCCCGGCAGTGTGAGTGCCACTGAAAATCAGCTCGCGTGCCGCATTTGGCACGTGTGCCATAGGTTGCCTACTCCGGTGTAATATAATATTTCATTGAAAGGTGACACAGGGCCAGAAAGAGTCAATTATCTCACAGACTGACCTGACCCATGGCCGAACTTTAAAGACTTGTTAGGAAGCTAAGTAAATGAACAGAGCTTTGAAATGCAGCCTGTAGTGTTAGAGATAGAAGGGGAGCTGTTTGCTCAGGTCTTGTGATGTAAGCAAACAAGTCTTGTCTATTACTATGGCTTTGATTCAAAGATCAAAAAAGGAGTACACCTCTTCCTCGATATAACACTGTCCTCGGGAGCCAAAAAATCTTACACGTTATAGGTGAAACCGCGTTATATCGAACTTGCTTTGATCTGCTGGAGTGCACAGCCCCGCCCCTCCAGAGCACTGCTTTACCACGTTATATCCGAATTCGTGTTATAGCGGGTCGCGTTATATCAAGGTAGCGGTGTATTAACAATTAGGAAGATACTTGAGGGAAAAGTTTTCAATTAGCAATAATCGCGCCTCGGATTAACCTCATTGGCTATGATACTGTCTCTTTGAAGGTTGTGGTAACCTGTATCTGAACTGTTTAATGGCTAAATTACCCTGTGCTAATTGCCGGGATGTTTGGGAGAAGGAGAGTTAAGCCAATTGTTTTCTCAGGCCAAACAGCTGCTGGAAATGTATAAAAACCCTGGGACACGATCCTGCTTCATCTCAGATCTGCTTTGGGTGTCAAGAAGGGGAAACCCTACGCCATAAGAATTGAGATCCCCAGTCACTGACTGGATACGGACATTGGACTATAACCTATGGACTA